GGGGCCCCAATTTTTTTTATTTCCCGGGGGGCCCAGGAGTCCCTAAAAGCCCCCCCCCCCTTTTTAAAGGGCCTAAATTTTTCCCGGGGGGGGGGGGGGGGTTTTTCCCCTAACGGGGGGGGGGGGGGGGCCCCCCCCCCCCCTTTCTTTCCAATTTCCCCCCTTTTTGGGGGGTTTTGGAGTTTTCCTTAAAAGCCCCCCCCCCCCCCCCCACCCATACCCCCCTCCTGGGTGCTCTTGACTCTCACGCGGCGGCGCGGTAGGCTGTACTCCTGGGGATGGCGGCGCCAGGCCGAGCCCATTTGCGTCAAGCAGCCGCTGCAGGCGCTGGCAGGCCGCTCGTTCGAGCGGCTTTGCGTGCTTCCCGACTCGATCAACAAGGGGGACCCCCCCCCCCCCCCTCCCACCCACCCCCGCCGCCGAGATCTCGGCGAGATTGCGTGTCGTCCTCACCAGCTGGCGCGCTGCGCGCGATCAGGTGCTTCGACTGGGACGTTGGCGGCACTCGGTGGGCACGCGTGGGCTTCTCGCTGGGCGACGCCTACAAGGCGCTAGCTGAGATGCGGAAGACCGCTCCGTCTCTCCCCCCATCTCCCCCCATCTCCCCATATCTCTAGGCCTAGATGCGGCAGACAGATCCGCGTATTCCGACCAGCAGCGCGAGGAGGCACTGGCCCAAGTGTCTCCAGCCGTATTCGTGGCCCTCGCGTCCACGCGGTGCTCTGAATACACCGCGCGATGCCGCGTGCGGCCCCCTGACGTCTGGTAGTGCATGGCGGTAGGAGTTGGGCCTCTCCTCGCGACCGGCGAGCTGGTACTCGGCCAAGGAGGTCAAGGCCGCGTACCGGCAGCTCTCGCTGCAGCTGCACCCCGACAAGATTCGCGGCGCTTCCCCTGAGGCGAGGCGAGAGGCGGAGAACCGCTTCATGAGGGTGCAGCGTGCCTACCACACAGTCACCGACCACCGAGCCTTCGCTGCCGCGCCGAGGGAGTCCCCCAGAGCGAGGTCGCGATCAACGCCGCCAAGCGCTAGGTAGAAGAGGTAGATTATAGTCGCAAGAGTCGTGCGCCACGGCGGGGGCACTCCCCGCCCGGCGGCTCGAAGCTCATTTTCTTCATTTTCTGTGATTCCCATCACATCATGCTGAGATGCTCTCTCACACGCCGTTGCGTTGTGCGCAAGCACCACATTTTTGACATCACCCCGTTTTTCCTGCCCCCCGCATAGATAGATTTCGTTTTCGCATTTCGGTCCACATCTCCGTCAAAATATCTGAAAGATCTGACCCCGGGGGATTCTCCCCAAACCTTGCTCAGCTGATCCAGCCTGGGGGCCGAAGGCCAGCCCTCTGGGCAAAGAAATCAGCACCTCATCAGGCTTCCCTGAGCGTCACAGCTCGGTGATCGCGCCGGCCCACTTGTATGTGTGTACTCTCTAACGTCCGTGCACCGTGGGGTTTTCTCCGGGCATTTGAACGCGACCAGACAAAAGTATTGGTGATGCCTTTCCCTGAGAACGCACACAACGCCTCGTGTGTAATGCCCTGCGTTCCGCGAGTGCGTGTGCCCCGTCGTCCATGCTAGCGGGACGTGTGTAAACACTGACTGACTGTGACTGACTGACTGACTTTGAACGCGACCTTCGGGGGCAAAGACATGGCATCCACATGGGCTCTATGGCTCAGACTGGACTCCTCTTGGTCCCTTCTGATGCCCTAGCCTAGGCCACACCTGGGCCTTAACTGGGGGGCGCTAGGGGCCGGGCAGGGTTTGCGAAATTGCCCCCCCGTCGCCCCCGAAACTCCTGGCATGGGGGAACCCCTAGAGCGTATACTTTAGCAGCTAGGTTGCAAGGAAAACAAAAAGCCCCGAATCGAGAAACTTATACGACAAACTTCCTGTCATTCGTTGAAATTTGGGTTATACCGGTGTGAATGTCGTGTGTGTGACACTGAAACAACAATGCGGCGCGGGCGCTCGATGCTCTCACGCCGCTAGCACCTCGGCCGAGACCCGCCCGACAAACGCGGCCAGGGCGGGCAGCCACACCTGTACGTCTTTCGAGATGACCAGCTCGCAACTCGCGCCCGCGGCGGCCGCCACCGCGCGGCTGGTGGAGGCGGTGTGCATGCCGTCGTGCTCGCCGTCGCCGTAGTAGTTGCAGACAAAGATCGGGAGCGTGTTCCCCAGCCGGCGGAGGTCCGCCGCCGGGAGGCCGAGCGCAGGCTCGGCGCGGCTGTCGGAGAGGAGGCGGGCGGACGCCTCCATCGCTGCGAGGAAGGCGGGCGGCGGCATGGCTCGCAGCGTTTCGGCGACCCGCTCGTTGGCCGCGGCCCGCTCCGCGTAGAAGCCCTGCGCGAGGAGGGCATCCATCCCTCCGCGCGCGACGCCGGCGTGGCGGGTGTAGTACTGCCTGCCGATGCCGTCCGCCGCGGCTGGGCCGCCGGTGAGGATCAACAGGGCGAGGCCGCAGGCGAGGTCAGGGCGGCGGGCGGCGAGGCGGCCGAGCAGCCGGCCGCCGCTCGAGTGGCCCACAAAGACCCACGGCGGCGGCGCGGCGGCGGCGATCGCGTCGAGCAGCTCGGCGAGATCGGCCGCCTGCTCGTCCACTTCTGCGCCGCCGCGGTACGCCACGTCACTCGAGCCGCAATTGGTACGGTCGACGAGCAGCACCGTGTGGCCCGCCCACGCCGCGTGCTCCGCGCCGCAGGGCGTCGTGCAGGCGAGCGCGCGACCGCTCTGCCCGCCTCCGAGGAGGAGGATCGGCGTCCTCGCGCGGAGGGAGAGCTGGTACACGAGCCGCACGCCGGCCGCCGTCTCGAAGACGCGCGCACGCTCGCCGCGGAAGCGGCCCCGCCCGGCCGGCTGCAGGTTGAGCCCGCGCGTCGCCCCCGCCGCCTCCGCCGCCTCGCCGAGCCGGTCGGCCGCCGCGCGAGCCGCTGCCAGCGACGTTGCGACGGCGGGGCGCGGCAGAGTCGCCGAGGCAGACTCGCCTCCTCGAGAGACACTTCCTAGACCCTTCCTGGACACGTCCTCGAGAGACTCGCCGCGGCGTTGGAGGAGGAGCGCCGCCGCCGCGGCGCCGGAGAGTGCCGCTGCTTCGAAGCCGGGGTTGCGGCGAGAGCAAAAGTCGCCCGCGTAGAAGAGGCCGCCGCCGCACTCAATCGCGTCGGCGGCGTCGGCGTCTGGACTCCCGCCGTCGTCGACGCCCTCGATGGCACGGAGCTCCTCGGCCGGCCCTTGCCCGATCGTCCGCGCGGGAGGGTCGTACACCAGCGGGGGCAGCCGGGGCGCGTATCGGATCCCGCACACCTCCACCGCCTCGGAGGCGGCCGAGCCGAGCGGCTTGTGCGCGCCGTCCGCGTCGCGCCCAAAGACGGAGGCGGGAGAGGGTAGGGCGGAGCCCCACCGCTGCGCGTGCATGTAGACGGCTGCGGGTAGCGGGACACTTGCTGCGGCGAGGCGGGGGGCGACGGCGGCGAGGAGGGCGTCGAAGAGGGCCGGCCCGGGCTCGGAGAGGAGGTACGAGTCCTCCTGCGGCCGAAACGCGCCCGAGGGCGACTGCATCGGCGTCTCCTGTATCTGTCGGACCGCGTAGTCCGCCGTCGAGACCAGGGTCCAGCACTCTGCCGCCCCGCGTGGCACGCCCGGCTTGGACTGCGACCTCGCCGCGAACCAGAGGGGAGAGCCGCCTCCGCTGACGGTGAAGGCGTCGAGTCCGACCGCTTCGCCGATCGGGTGCGAGAGCGCGACGATGGCGGAGAAGAGCGGCACCCGCACGCGGTGCCGCACGCGCCCGACCGCCTCCGCGCTGCCCGTGCCGGCAGCCAGCCCCGCAGAGGCGCGGTGCCAGCCGCCGAGCGACTGAGACGCGTCCGTGAGCAGCACCGCGTCGAAGACCCCGAGCGGCGCGTCGTCGACGCCGTCGGCGATCGAGTTGGCGGTGTCGTGCAGCGCAGCCAGCCCGCCGGTGCCACGCAGCGCCCACCCGCCTCCCGCCGCGGGCGCCACGGAAGACACACGGACGCCGCGCCGCACAGAGGCGCCCGACGCGGCGAGGATGGCGCGGGGCAGCCGGTGCATCCCACCGACGCCCGTGTACACCGGGCCCTCACTCCCAGGCACGCCAAAGAAGTCGGGCGCCGCAGCAAAGTCGTTGGAGCCGCGGCTGTCGGCGCCGCGGCCAAGGCGACCAAACCGCCCCTCCCAGCGGCTCGCCCAGCCCGCCTCCACCCACCGCTCGGTGATCGCACGCATCTGCGGCGAGTCCGCTCGAAAGAACTGGCAGCCGTGGTCAAACTCGTACGTCGAGTCGTCCTCGGGCGCGAGCAACGAATCGTCAGGGCCGACCGTGCCCGACGCCGCATCGACCCGCCGGTGGGACGCCCGCCCGCCAGGCCCACGGCCGCCTTGGTCAAAGACGGTGACCTCAATGCCATAGCCTGCCAGGCTGGAAGCTGCAGACGCGCCAGTGATCCCGCCGCCGACAATGGCGACCTTCATGGCTTTCCGCCGCGAGCAGGGTTCCGGGGGGGGGGCCGGGTTCCGGCTCCTACCCGGATAGGGGGTCTGCACACTGGCTGGCCCCTCCCAGATAGGTAGGTAGGTTGGTCGTGTTTGGCCCAAAAGGGCCCTGCAATAGGTAGGTACCGCCTATTTTCATCTTTTTTCGCTTCGCTGCGCGGCCTGGGGATAGGTAGGTAGGTAGGGCGTTTTGGCGCGAGTCAGTGCCAACAGACCCCCTATCCGGGTAGGAGCCGGAACCCTGCGGTGTGGATCTACTCTCACTGGCTGCGGTCTCCTCTTGAGCACTTGAGCACTGGATAGGGTCGATTCCGCGTGGTACGGGACCCCTCGATCGTCTCGCCCTCCCTCACTGGCGTGTTCATTGGGGTGATAAGTGTCATAAGTGTGGCTGGGGTATGTGTGTGTCAGAGGCATGAACGCACATCGCACACATGCGCGAGCATTTCCTGTGCATTGTCAAATGGGAGAATGGGTTTGGCGCGCCCCATATCGGTGTGTGCGTGTGTGCGTCATTATTCGCGGCGGCTGCGGGCTCTGCCTCGGGGCTGGCGCTTACCGGATACCGCTTTTTATCCCTTTTATTTTCGGCAAAAAGTCATAGCCTGACGCTATAGCGTGTAGGGTGCTGGATGGAGGACGGGTACGAAGTACGATGCACTAGCCCCAGCCGTCGCGGGGGGGTGTTGCCGGCGCTGGTAGATGATCTCTCGGAGAAGAGCCGGAGGGACCTTGGCGCCGGGGTCACGAGGAACTTGCAAGTCGTGGCCGAGGCGGCGACGGGAGCGGTGCAGAGGATCCAGCTCAACGATGAGGCTACGGCGCGCATAATGAAGAGAGAGGAACACATCGAGTGGCTGAGGAAGCTCTTCACTGGGTGGAAAGAGGCTCGGCCGGCCTTGAGGGAGTCGCGGAGGAGGAGGGATAACGCAGGCAACGCAGGCCTCCCCTGACAGCACCCGCCACCCCGACAGCACCACCTGACAGCACCTGACAGCACCGGCCCTACGTCTCTGACAGGCGGTCAGCTCCGCAGCAGCGGCTTGACAGCTCTGACAGCTCCGACAGCGTCTGACAGCACCGCCTGTGACAGCACCTGACAGCCTGACGGCCCCAGGGCCCAGCCCCGCACTCGAGACTCGTCTTTCTTGTCTTTTTCTTGAGAGCGCCTTCGTTGTTAATAATAATACACCGAGGGATTAAGACGGCGGCGAGTGTGATTGCGACGCGGCCGCTCGAGAGGCAGATGAACGCCCAGAGGACCGTGACACCTCCAAGAAGAGGAAGAGGGCAATGTTCCCTCTGCTGCTCTGCTGCAGCCTCCAGTCGCGGTGCGGCCTCCGCACTCTCGGCGTTCGCCTCTCGCCCTGCTGCAGCATCCGTTCCCATATCTGGCTGCCGTTCGCCGAGCGCCTCTTCAAAGCATGCGAGAATCTCGTCGCTCTGAAGGTCAGTCTCGAGCCCGTCGTCAGCAGCGCGGATGCTCGCCAGCACGGCCCGCCGTCGGTCGCGGTCTCGTCTTAGTTCTGGCAGCGTCGGCGCCGACCTGCTCCCACGCTGGCCGCGCATCATGCTGCGCTTCGCGAGCAATCGCGTAACGGGAGGCTGGCCGGCTTTTTGAGAGAGAGAGCTTTTTTTGACGGCTTTTTTGGCTTTTCCCGCCTCCCTACACCTCTCTGGTCTTTTTTCTTTCTTTTTACAACGGACCCTGTCCTCCTCCCCCGCGAGCACACAAAAGCGCAACCGGACAGGCAACCGGTTTGGGGGGGGAGGGGGGGGGATGGGATGGCGGCAGAGAGAATTCAGATACCACAAAAAAAACGCTGGAACCCAAACTGCTGTTCCGGTGGGGCCACATCTTGCAAGAAATGGGGCAGGTCCTGACGCGCCGCGCCGTCCGAGTCGCGTACGCGGAGGCTCATCCGCTTGGACTGACCGACCTCCCAACCGACCTCTGCGAGTCCATTTTCAACGGCATGGCAGCGCAGGGCGATGCGCACTTCCTCTCGCGAGCTGCCGTCTTGAACAAGGCGCACAAGGCTGCGGTGGAGGCGGCGTGGCCGAGACTGCGAGTGCCGGTGCCGAAGATGGTCGCGGCCGCTCTTCTCGACGAAATTCAAATCGGCGACTCCCTTCCGAACGCACGTGTCAACAAAGCGCGAGTGCACTCGCTCGAGCTCGTGAGCGGCCGCAACCTGCTGCAGCTGGGCGTGTCGCAGAAGTGCATGATTTGCGAGAGGCTGACACGCGTGCCGGATTGGGAGCAAGCGTGTGAGGCGTGCTTCATCGATGCCAGGATCGAGCGGTGGCCCTCTGAGCAGGCGTGGACGAAGACCTCTCAGCAGGCGCGTCACGACTGGTTTGCTGAGAAGCATGGTCAGCTGTCGATGTGGCAGTGCCGAGGATGCGGCGTCTTCAACCCTGATGCCGCTGGCGGGCACAAGGGCGTTGGACAGGCGTGCTCCAGCTGCCACAAGATGTACCACCGGAGCTGCAACTCCACCTGCGGAGGATGTGGGTACCACCGGCACTGCTGCTGCGACTGCGCGGAATGGGGAGTGAACGACGAGGAGGAGGACAAGGAGGACGAGGACGAGGACGAGGATGAGGAGGAGGAATAGGGACTGCAAGACGCACAGAGCGCAAGATCTCTATCTGTCCCAAGTGCCGAATGTACGCGGCTCTTTCGTAAATTAAAAGTTTTGCACAAATAATGAAGAGAATGTGGCAAGGGTCGCCAGATGCCCCTCGCCCCCCCTCCTTGATGCAGGGGGCCTCTGGACGTTTGTGTAGTCTGTGCACTTCCTCCTATTTTTTGCATTTGGCATGCACATGCACACACAACAACATCGAACATGATGATTGATGTACATGTGCACACATGCTCAGATATGCTACATGCACATGCACATGCAGGAGAAGACAGGGCGCCGCCATATGCGCCAAACGCTGGCTGCAACGATGAGATCAAAGGCACCAGAGTCGTCATCAATCCGCGCCGCACAGTCCCCCGATCTCGCGCTGCAGCGCCTTCGCCAGGCGCAGCCCGCTCAGCGCCGCGCCCTCGACGCTGCCCCCTCGCCCCTCGCCGCCCTCCACGAAGTCGCCGCAGAAGGCGACCCGCGCGCTCGGGACCACGGCCCGACCCTCAGGCAGGAGGGGCGCGTCCGGGAAGGCCGCCCCCCAGCGGTGCAGGTGCGGGCCCCAGGCCGGGCTGCGGATCGCCGCCGCAGGACCGAGCAGGCCACCCAGCCGCTTCTCCGCCGCGACCAGCATCGCGTCGAGGATGCGTCCCTACGCGAGGGCGCACGCTGCCGGTGTGAGAGGCCGCGCGTTGACGGCAGATGCTTGCCCTCCGCCCTCCGGCGCGCCTCCTCGCCCGCGTCCGACTTTGCCCCGGCGATGCGCGCGGCGGTCGAGGTTGCGCCGTACACGTGCGCCGCCGAGCGGGCAAACTCGTGGGTGGAGTGCAGCACCTGTGCCCGAGATACAGCCGAGATCTCCCGAGATGTGCCCGAGATGTGGCTAGCTCGTGGATGGAGTGCAGCACCACGGCGGTCAGGCTTTGGCTGACGCGCTGGACGACGATGCGAGAGAGGACGGGGTCCGCCTCCACCTGCGCCTCGAAGAAGGGGGGATGTCGGCGACAGATGTCGCCGAGAGATCGCCGAGAGAGCGCCGAGTGATCGCCGAGAGAGCGCCGAGAGATCGCCGAGAGAGCGCCGAGGTAGCGCCTCCACCTGCGCCTTGAAGAAGGGGAGCGACGCCCACGCGGCCGCCGCGTCGGAGCCGTATGCAAGCATCGCAGCCTATGAGGGAGGCGGCGAGCAGGCTCGGAGAGAGGGGCGCGTCGCCGCTTCGGCGCAGCGCGGAGGGCGCGGCGGCCGTGACGGGCTTGGACTGCAGCGGGACGAGGGCGGCGAGGGTTGCGTCGAGCGCAGTGTCGCCGAGAGCCGCGGCAGCCTCGACGAGGGGAGGCTCTCCGCCAAAGGTGGTGCGCCAGCGAGGGTGCGCGAGGCCCGTCGAGGAGACGACGAGCCAGTCGAAAGTACCCAGGTCGACGCCGCCCTTCGAGGTCAGCCTCCACTGTGCTGCGACCGGCTCGACCTTCGTCACCATCGTGCTGGGCGTGAAGTTGGCGAGCGTGGACTCGCCACCGAGCAGGCCGTCGCAGAGAGCGTTCATGCCCTTGCCGACCGGTGGCCGATACCTCGTCGGGGCACCGGCCGCGTCCTCCGCCTCAAAAGTGCCGGAGCTCCGCAGCACGCCGAAGGCTGAGCCGTCGCCGTCGCAGCGTCGCAGCACGTCGGCGGCCACGAGGCTCTCGCAGAGGGCGCCGAACTCAGGCGTCAGCGCGGCGAAGGCGGGAACGCCGTGGTCGACTCGAAGGCCGGGGTCGTCTCGCGTTCCGCGCGTCGCCGCTCGACCTCCCGACGCTCTGCCCATCTCAAAGACGTGGAGGGACACCGCCCTGGAGGCGAGGCTGTCGCGCAGTCCGTGCGCGAGAGAGCAAGCAGCGACGCCACCCCCGATGACGGCCACGCGTGGCGGTGACATCGTTCGCGGTGGCAGCGGCTTGGCTAGTGGAGCGAGTCCTGCTGAGCTCTACACACGGCGACGGAAGTGCGACGGGAGCGGGCTACCTCCAGGTGTGTATCTCTTAGGTGGCGAAGATCCCAGGGCGGATCTTCCAGCCCCTTTCGGCACCGCAGCGCGGTCCTACGGCCGCTGGTGGCCGCCCCGATGGCCCAGCTGGCCTAGCCGGGTCGGCTGCATGTCCGGGCCGTGGGGGCCATTGATTGTTGGGTCATTGTGTCTCGTTTGAAAACGGGTTTTCGGCTGACGGCAGAAGATCCTCTGGAGGATCTTCTGCCGGGAACCAATGTCAGAGCTCTGAACGGCTGATCTGAGAGCCCCCCAGCACAGTAGGGATTGATTATGATCAGATCCATCACTCACTGGCCGGGGTTGAGCTATTCTAGACGACAAGCCGCGTGCAGAGTGCCTGAAGTTCAGCCCCGCACGACGCACAGACGTGCCGGCTAGTGGGCTGCTAGCGCTCTGCGGGCAGCAAATGTCGCGCTTCTGGGCCACCAAGCCGGTAAGATGACCTAACCCGGTCAGTCTGAGGCTGCGGCCATGATGGTTGTACTCCTCCTGGTGTCGGTGGACCACTTTTTCGGCTTGAGCTAGCGACGAGAATGATCAGCGCGAGGTGGACTCACGAGGGAGGCCACGGGTCGCCATGTTGGGCACACAGGTGCCACCCAGGCAGAAGTATTGACCAGACAATGAATACGTACAATACCCTCACAAAGAGAGCGATGCCTTCCCACCTGCTGACCGCTTCAGCGGTGGTCGCCACCAATGCAACGACGGCACTCGCCGGCCACGTTGCTGGCCAGCACCAACAATTCTGGGCGCCGCTCGGCCCGAGGCATTGCTAGGCCTGCTCAGGTCGTGCCACATGAGCACTGAATGGCCTCGTAGGGGGCTCATGGGGCCGGTGACGGCGCCCTGCGCCGAAGATCCCAGGGCGGATCTTCTGGCCGCCACTTAAGAGATAGAGACTTTTCAGGTAGGATTCCTATATATGTAGGAAGTGGAACCAGAAGATTTGGGGGGGGGGGGGGGGTACGAGTTGGCGGGACGAGGGCGGCGAATTGCGTGGTACTGCGTTCGCTGCCGCTGGCTGCACCTGGCTGCCGCCGGCTGCCGCTGGCTGCCGGGCGCCCGCCGCAAATGGAAGACGAGGACTACGTGGTGGCGGCGGCCGCGGGGGCCGCTGGCACACGAGGTGCTCGCCGCCTCCGCCGCGACGCGGTGAGGCACAGAGCATGGAGAGCCGAGCGCATCGGCGCATTGGGCCATCGCGTTGCTGTCAGGGCCTCGGCGACGGAGAGCGGGGCCGAGGAGGACGAGGCCGGGGCGGCGTTCAAGTGGAAGTGGAACATAGACGGAGGGGAGCTCTTCGAGGAATGCCTAGGCTAGGACGCAAGCGTCCGTCGCCTTTTTCAAACTCGGGTCCCACTCCGCTACGCTCCGACCCGAATTTGGAGGGCCATGAAGTTTAAGGTTTTGCTGCGCAAAAGGGGCGGGGCGCGGGCGCGCGCGGCAGGCCGACAGCTCTTTTTGGAGATCAGACATTTCGATGGTTCATGCTTTCTATGTCTGTCTATCCTGCTTCCATGACACGCCACGCGGTGGTTGGTGGGAGCTGGTGGAGCTGTCAGCTGATCGATCCAAGCGGGTGGGGAGTGGGGGGCATGGCTGGGCATGCAGGTCCGCCAGTCCGCCCGGCCTCTGATGACGTGGTGCTGCCGCTGCATTCGCTGAAGAAGAGAGGTGCGACTTGATTGGAGGCGCTGGAGGCGACGGCGCTAGCGAAGGGAGGTTGGGCCGGGCCGTGAGAGGGGCTGATGGCGCTGGCCAGCGCGGGGTGTGAGATGTCATCGTCGTCGTATACTGCTGGCCCTCGCCCTCAGTTGCCGGGGCTGTGGGTTGCAGAATTGGCGTCTGTGGCGTCTACGCAGGCTCTGCAGCGTGATGGCTGGCGGGACTGCGAGGCCGGCGGCAGCGGAAGGAGAGGCTGGGCACGAGCCAGGAACAGGCTGGCCAGGTCCGCAGGTGGCTGCGCTCGGGCGAGGCGCGCGCGCGCATGGCAGGCCGAGCAGGCTCGGCATATGGTGAACCCGCGATGTCGCGATGCCGGGTCCCGCTTTCCGCGACCATTTCGTCCGTCCAATCGAAGGAAGCGCCGGATCGCCCATGTTTAGCGTTTGCCAAACTTGCCCCGACGTTCTTCGTCCGAGATTCCGTGGTTTTTGCACGGTATTCGGATTTTCGCTATTTGGTCGTCTCGTGTGGGGGTGTGTGTATTGCGGGATTAGTCAATTGTCAAACGCCTGGTACCGCCGCGTCGGCGACGCGGGCGCCTTGCGGGCAGAGCCCTTAGCCACCCTTTGTCTTGCGCGGTCATAAACAAATGCACGTACACCTGCTCCGCAGGATATGAATATGCGAAAGATTGGCACACAGCTGTGACCTACTCTAATGTGTCGACACATATAGGTTATAGCGCGCAAAAGCTGGTGAAGCCCGCGCAGCGTGGAGGAGATCAAAGCAGTTCATTTGCGGTCCATTGCCGCTTCCGCAGGAGCAACGCGACGGCGAGAAAAACGCCGCCGACGGCGGCGGCGGCGGCGGCAGCAGCGGCAGAGTCTCCTCGCAAGCTCCGAGTCGCGGGGAGCGCTCCAGCGTTCACGAGCGACGGCAGCCACGACGGCGGCGCGGCTTCCCCTTCGAGCGACGAGCCGTCGGCAAGGGCGACGACGCCGCGCGAGCCGGGGTGGTGGAAGGAATAGCGAGGCGACGGGAGGATGGCCGCCCAGCGGCCAAGCGACCCTCCAGGGATGCGCTCGAACGGCGAGAACCAGCTGGAGGGCGCGATGGGCGGCGAGGGCGGCGGCGCCGGCCTGGGCGGAGGTGGAGTGCAAGTGTTGCAGGTCAGGTTGTTGAGCGGGCAGCCGTCCAGGGAGTCGACCTTGTACAGCCTGGCGGGGCGCGAACCGGAGTCGACGGGAGGCTTGGCAGCAGCCGCGGGGTGGAGGCTCGGTCACCCCTGCCAGCCCTCGTACACGCTGTCGTACTTTTTGCTGAACTTGAATGTCTTCGTGCAGGGCTGGTCGGGCCCGTGCTCGAACACACAGTCCACGCACGGCCAGCCTGAGCTCTCGCCGTAGAGCGCCTGCACGACACTCGACGGCGAGTTCACGTAGAGGTCGCGGTCGCACGCGCACGCCAGAGCGAGCCCGACCATCGGCGGAGGCAGCTTCTCCACCACCCCACACAGGTCGTGCCGCCTGCATGCGCCGTCCTGGGCGTCGACGACGCACTCGCCCGACCAAACGGACGGCGGGTTGCCGATGCCGCACCACCGGCTCCCTGTGAGGCCATACTCGATGTCGCGCACCCACTGGGGCGCGTAGCCGTTCTTCTCCTCCGGAGGTGCGCCGTAGGAGGCGCCGAGGTGCGGCATAAGGCGAGCCGCGGCCATGGTTTCAACTCCGTGCCCGGCTGCACGCGGCGCGCTCAATCGATTAAGCCCGCGCTCTTCTCCTCCCAAAACGCGCGGCATCAAAAAGATTTGTTGTTTTTTTTTTTGAGCTTAGCCTTCGATGTTATGAAACAACGGAAGGCGGACATGGCATATCGCTCTCGGGCTCACAGACATCCCTCACACCCGCCGCACACCCGCGCGCGCCCCACCCCGGCCGGGAGAGAGGGGAGTGACAGTTTGGGATGAGCAAGCCCGAGTATGTTGAGTCCTGGCTCAACAACGCAGAGAACAAGAGGGGGTGGTCCGGCTCACAAGTCCGGCTCACGCGCCTCGAGCTCGCCATCTACCGCACTGAACACTTCCGCCCCCTCGCTCCCAACCCATCCACCCCGCCCCGGGCCGCGCCGCGCGATCTCCTCGCTCCCAACCCATCCACCCCGCCCCGGGCCGCGCCGCGCGATCTCGGGCGATCTCGCGCGATCTCGGGCGATCTCGGGGCCGCGCCGCGCTATCTCGGGCGATCTCGCGCTATCTCGGGCGATCTCGGGGCCGCGCCGCGCTATCTCGGGCGATCTCGGAGCGTCGCTTGCGCGGCGTCACACCTGCTCAAAAAGGAAGGAGGTTGGAGGCAGGAGGTCACGCCCCATCCAGAGCGCCGTCGTCGCCGGGTTTTTGGCCCCCGGGTCGTCGCCCGACGGTTGCTGCGCGGGGCAGCAGACCATCGGACGGCGCGACGACGCCCCGTCCGGCACGCTCCCCCCTCCACCCGGCTATTGCCGCACGAGCGCCCTCAGCGGCGGAATTTTTCCCTCGCGCTTCCTTGGGCCCCCGGCAACGCCGGCGGACTTCCCGTCCCCCCACCTGCGCCGCAATCACCGCCGTGATTGTCGGCGCCGCGCCCCTTGGCGCCCGTGCATGTCCCGCGTGCCCGCCCGCCAAGGCTGGTGCCAAGGCCAACTCAACTGCCAAGGCTGGTGCCAGGGCCAAATCAACTGCCTGGCTGGTGCCAAGGCTCAAAGGCTCTCCTCTCTCTCTCTCCTCCCTCTCTCCCTCCCTCCCTCCCTCCCTCTCACCCCCCACCTCTTCTCTCCTCTCCCCCTCCTCCTCTCTCCTCTCTCCTCCTCTCTCCTCTCCTCTCCTCTCCTCTTCTCATCCTCTCCCCTCTCCTCCTCTCCTCTCTCCCCCCCTCTCCCCCAGCAGCTTCCTCGAGGCCGAACAGGTAGATCCTCCCTGATCGCTAAGCTACCACAGGGGAAGTAGACGTCGTCCGCCGCCGCCTCCGCCGCCCGCGTGCCTCCGCCCCGCCAACGATTCTCATGCCCACACAGAAAGGACCAAAATGATGTACAAAGTTGCTGAGGCCTCTGGCAAGCAGTTTACTATGTAAACCCAATTTTGGTGTTTATAACATTTTTGGCTGGCCGCCTGGCAGCGGGGGGCCAGCCCCCGCCATGGGCCCCGCCGGCTGCGCACGGAAAATCTCCTAAGTCGATTTGTACCGGATTTTGAAGATTTTGGCAAAAGTGCGAAACCGAAAATGGCGTTTAAATTTGCGCACCTGCTGTCCGCCACCTGCGGCGGCGCTGCGCGCCGCTGGAGCGCGCTGCGCGCGCGTTTTTGTTTGGTGTGCA